TTGTACCCCTAGAAAATCATCTTTCTTTCGCTGTATCCGAACTCTTTTCCCTCGAAATAAGTAGCGTTTTGTGATGAATTTTGGATGAAAAACTACCACTTCGCTTCGATTTCCAGCCATGAAAGCATTTCGGAAAAGACCGAATGAATTCCGCGTTGCGTGACGCAACCGCGAATTCTCGCTTCCCTCTGTGACGCACCCGGCACCCTTAACGTAGGTTCAGACCACCGTCACGTATTCTGCCGTGCTTAGGAAGAACGCCGTATGAGCCTTCAGACGTTGCCAAATTTCCTTCGCTAAGATACGAACTTTTAAGGAAATACGGGAATATTTTTCCTCGTGTTTTTCAGAGAATTTTATCCGCAATTAGAACTAAATTATCTGAAAATTTCTAGAGATAATATTCAGAACTCTTCGCAAATATGAGCATTTTAACAGAGGAAATTTGGCAACTCCTGAATGTTCATACTGCGTTTTTCCCTTGCACTGCGCTATCATACGATCGGTCCCTCAGTGTTTTATGACGAGGGGGGCAAAATTTTATGATGTAACTAGAGCTGATGTGACGTTACGTATTTCGATAACGTCACGTACGCAGATGACTGCAAAATCCCTGCGACGCACGGTGGATCGAGTCAATTGAAGAAGTCGGACATGAAATTTTCGACAAAAATTGTAAAATTTTATGTTTATCTCATCACAATTTGAATTTTAAGGGGTGCTTTCTGCAGTAAATTTTACGAGAAAACCCATGAAACTACTCCCAAAACATTGAAATTTCAAATTAAGGAAGATATACGTCTTTGAAGTTTTTAAGTCATGTCCGACCTCTCCTATCGACTCGCTCCGCTGTGCGACGTTCGTATTTTGGTGCCGGCACGTAAGGGGAACATCAGGATTTTTCAAACATTTTCCGTGGAAGCAAGTACCTAACTCGTAATTCCGGGCATTATGACTGGCCAACAAACAAGGAATGTTTTTCGGCCACGCGAACGGGCGAAGTGTGGATTCAGGAGAGCGTCACGCTCGAGCAACGAGTGTGAAACCAAAATTTTTCCGTCCATAAAAACATCCATTTTTAACCGAATCGGTAAAGAAAGAGTGTTTGCTCTGCGGCACCTTCGCGCATCTGCCGGACTTGGCACCCATTCGAAAAACGCCCGATGTCTGCATGTGTGTGCGCGCAATTCGGTTTCGTTCAATGCGCGCAATAACCACCGTAAAGGGAGAAAAAATCGACTCCATCTCGATCCGCTGACGTGACGGCGACGCCACGTTCGAGCGCTGCCGTGCCAAGGAAGAACGCCGTATGAACCTTCCGGCGTTGCCAAATTTCCTTTGATAAGTCACGAATTTCCAGGTAGACTTATGAATATTTTCCTTCCAATTTTTCAGATAATTTTGTTCGCAATTTCACCTAAAGTCCCCGAAAATTTCGAGGAAAAATATCCATAACTTTCCTTAAAAATAAACATTTAATTGAAGGAAATTAGGCAACTCTCAAATGCTCGTACGCTGCCGTGCTAAGGGAGAACGCCGTATGAGCCATCAGACGCTGCCAGATTTCCTTCGATAAATACCGAATTTACTGGGAAAATTGTGAATATTATTTTCCAAAATTTTCAGACGATTTCGTGCGCGATTTTGTCTAAAACATATGAAAATTTCAAAGAAAAATGTGCATGAATGTAGTCAAAAATACATGTTTTATCGGAGGAAATTTGGCAACTCTCGAATGTTCATACGACGTTCTTCCTTAGCACGGCAGCGCACGAACATTTGAGAGTTGCCAAATTTCCTTCAATGAAATGTTTATTTTTGAGGAAAGTTATGGATATTTTTCCTCGAACTTTTCAGGGACTTCAGGTGAAATTGCGAACAAAATTATCTGAAAAATTGGAAGGAAAATATTCACAAGTCTACCTGGAAATTCGCGATTTATCGAATGAAATTTGGGAACGTCTGAAGGTTCATACGGCGTTTTTCCTTAGCACGGCAGAGCTGTCTTGGTCCAGTCCCCGCCACGTCATGTCTCCGTCTCATTATTCGATTGAAAAGCTCAAGTGTGTGTGTTGCTTTCTCAGGAAAAACGCCGTATGAACATTCGAGAGTTGCCAAATTTCCTTGGATATAATGTTTATTTATGAGGAAAGTTATCAATATTTTACCTTGAAATTTTCAGGAAAAGGTGAAATTGGGAACAAAATTTACTATAAAACTGGATGAAAAATATTCATAAATTTACCAAGAAATTCGTATTTTATCAAATGAAATTTTGCAACGCCTGAAGGCTCATACGGCGTTCTTCCTCGGTATATCAGCGTAGCTCAAAACCCCTGGCACATATAAAATTCGGTAAAATTTTCGGACAGGTTCGTTGAACAATTTCTCTGTAAAAAATAAAATGGAGGCGGAAATTTTGAAACGTCGCATTGCGCTTGTGACACTCTGGCCGGAAGGTGATGAAATACCTACGAGACTCCAAGAAAATTTTCATTTCATCGGAGGCAAAACGGCAACACCTGAAACCTCACACGGCATTTTCCCTAAGCGTGGCAGAAAAAGGAAGGGAAAAAAGAAAAATCAAAGGTGCGCGACTGAAACCGCTCGTACGGTACGGGGGAGAGGAGAATGGCGGGGCCTCCGATTTTAAGTGCTAAAATCTCGTCAAAGAGTGAAATGTCAATTTTTTCTTCGTGTCTTTTTTTACATGGTGAGGGTATGCCCTTGAAGAGATCGGCAAGTTCGTAGTAAGGTGTGCGTGGCTTGTATCATTCCGTACACCCCACAATTTGTTTTCGAAAGTGCAGACACTTGCAAAAGCGGTTTTTGAGTCGGAAGGCGTCAAGTGGAATTGGATTTCATTTTTCAATCAGGAACTACAATTATCTGACTCATTTGTAAAAGCTTTTATCTGCATATGGAAAGTAATGGTATACACGATGTCTGTGAAGTGAGCTCGAAATTCAGCAGGGTGCCGTCCATCAGAAAACCCCGAAAATATCAGGAAATTCGATGTCATCAGGAAAAATCAATAAAATATCAGGAAAATTGGATCCGGAAAGTTTATGTGTTTCAAACATTGTTCAGGCAGTTGAGTCAATTCGATGAACATTTTGATTTGTCAAATCAAATGAGTGTCAATTTACTCACGCATGAAGTCAGGAAAATTTTCATTAAAATACAGGAAAAGTGAATTTCCTGCTACCCATTTTCCTCCAGCGTTTTTTCTCTTTTTTTTCTTTTTTTTTTAATAGAAAAGACAGCGCTGTAATGTCTTGAAATTTTTGTAAATTTCTCCGAGATCGCGGCGGATGTACAAGCTTATTTCACAACTAGATAAATGGACTTCATTGTGCAAATTGGAACTATAAATTCTGGCTCTTCCGGAAAAACACTTTTGTGCATAGAGAAACTAATGGCACATACGTTGTTTTTAAACCGGGCTCGAATAGATTTCTGCTCAAAAATCAATAGAAGAGATCCCCGAGAAGAAATTATGCAACGTGTGATGTAATTAGGCTCATTTTAGTCAGTAAAGCTCTATTATTAATTTTTAGCTTTTTAAACGATTGAGAGTTCCAGTGCATTGTTATCACAATCGTTTTGCGACTCGGAAAAAATGTTATCATGCGGTTACGCGTAAATTGCGAGATTAGTTCTGAAAATTTTGCGTAATATCGGATGTTACCGCTTTTAATGCTCAAACGCGGGGATTCCGTATTTTTCTGATGGGCTTCCAAAATTTTGATTGGTTCTCCGCTGTGAGGTTGAAACTAGGCCCGCTGGCCGCGGTTTTTCGGCGCCAAATTTGAATTTGCGCTTCGATGAAACTAAGCGCGCCTGCTGTGCTAGGCTGCGAGAGATTGAATATTTACTTACAATTATTTATTTTTACATTTTCCCGGCTTTCATGTTTGTTCAAAAGTCCTAGTTTTTAAATTTAAGTCCCTGCAACGGTTTAAATGATGATATCATGGAATTTTTATAATTAGAATTCGAAAAAACCCTTGCAGCTAGTAGTGCTTACTCATGCACTGAACATCGAGAGCACCTTTTTTACATTACTTGATATTTTCTCTAGATTTTAACTTACCTAATGCAAAAAGTGAATGAATAATGAATTATCTATCAATTATGAATTCACGACTTGCTTGCTGTCATCTCCTTATCTTGCATGGCATACTATCTCCTTACTCTATTTTTTTATTTGTCTTATCTTAGTGAACTGCCCCTCCATATTTATTCTGATTTTTTAATTCTTCTTCTCACAGGATTGCGATCATCAGAATATAATCCCTTGTTTTGTAAAGCACTCTTCTTGTAGAATCCCTAAATAATGGTTGAGACTGAGAGATGGTAAATGATTTTGCCATCAAGGGTTTAAATTCGCGTAAAACTGAAATTTTCATAATAGAGGGGAATAGCAATTTGGTTCCACATCAGTCATAATTGGACTGCATTTTGCGATTTGGAGCTATAAATTCTGGCTCATCTGAAAAAACACCTATGTGCATTGGGAAACTAATGGCACATACGTTGTTTTTAAACCGGGCCGGAATTTATAGTTCCTAATTCCAAAATGTAGTCCTATTGATCAAGAAGGCAACTGTGCGGACCCTCTGTGGAAACCAATCTGAACCAACTGAATCAAAACGCTTTATGGAAAAATTACAATTTTGGAGATTTTCTTGTCTTAAGGAGCGATACAGGCAATTGAAACTTTTTTTCTCTCTTTAGATTTTCCCAAAAGAATAGGGAACTGCAAAATCTGGCTTGTAATAAAGCAATCGGTTTTTTTCTGAATAACTGAATTATTCACCTGGTGGACTTCCAGATATTTTTTTGGAGAACTCCCCCCCCCCCTCTCCCTACAAACAACTTCCTTTGCTCTAAACGAATCCCTCTTCCAATTCCAAAGTGAAATGCCACCACTATGAAAAGTTTTTCTCGAATGCAACCATTTTTAATCTAATAAAATCTATTTTTCTGTGTTACAGTCATGTAGACGAAGATTTAGAGGATGGTGAAATCATCGAAGAAGATTTCGATGAAGAACCGAGTCAGAAATCTGAACCTGAACCGGTGAACAAAGCACCAGAAAAAGAACAAAGAAGAGAACCCAAAGCAATAAATAATTTTGATGATAATTTCCCTTCGCCTCCGAAGCGGCCAAAAAACAACTTTAAGAAAACCTATGACAGTTGGAATGACAGGCCTTTTAAGGATAAATCTAAGAAACCCTTTGACAGTGCCAAGGAAGATGAGTTTCGTTTCAAGAAAAAGAGAAAAAAGCCACGAAAAGAAGACGAGCCGTCAAAACCTGCAAAGGTGAGAAAAGTTTCTCCTTCAACCTCAACCCCAAGAGGGGGAGAAATTGACAGTGCTGATTAGTTCATGAAGGAGATAGGTGGATGTAGTTGACAGGGTGAAAGTTCTGAAGGAATTCAATGTTTGAATAACCTAATTCGGGGAAAAGGCTGCAAAAAAAAACAAAACAACAACAACAACAACACAGGATAAACAAAAAAATCCGGAACGTTTCAGAATATTAACACTTCCATTTTCAACCGGAAAAATAAAAATGAGCCGTTGATTCGCTGTTATTGCAAGATTGAGGATTTCCGGTTGATGGAAGTGTTAATATTCTGAAACGTTTCGGGTTTTTGGTTTATCCTTTGTTGTTTTTTTTGTAGCCTTTTCCCCAAATTAAGTTGTTATTTTATTATGTGAATTTTGGCTGATTAAGTCGTTTTTCTTTCGTTTGAATAACCTTTCTCCTAAAATCCATTAAGTACTAAGTAGAAAAGAAAGAGCTAAGAATTTCAATTTTCAGTGAGTGGGTCTATGCATAACATTTCTGCACACTATTAGACAGTTGCTCCGGACGTAATGTTTCATCAAAAAACCAAAAAGTTCTATAAAATGTTTTAAAAACATTTCTCAAGGGAGGAAAAGCTGATTGGAATCGGACCAACCAGCGGCCAACAGTCATGAGACATTTCTAGGCCATGTTATTGGCTGTGCTTCAGCCAAACTGCAAATTTGACTCCCATCGCCTGCTTATGATATAACAAACCACCAAAAAAAATCATTTCAAATTGGTGAATTCCAAATGATTTTCTCCATCAAGTCAAGTAGGAAAAATAAAGTAAAATTACCAGAAGTTCAATTTTCTCTCTACTTTAAGGAAATAAACTAAAAACTATGCACTATCGTCCCATTTTACTGCAAGCTCATAGTTTATCTGTATTGTGTATTGAAATGTTCTGTACCTTAGTCTTACCTTCTTTTGTCTGAAACAGTAATTACTGGAGAATAAATGTAAATGTTTCGGACTGTTCGATTAAAACTCCAAGTGCAGAATTTTTTTATTGATTTAATTTGAGTGTTTGTTTTTTTGTTGTTTTTTTTATGCTTTTATTATAAAACTGTTTTTCTCTCTCAGAAACCTCGGACCGAAAAGGGTCAGGGAAATTCAGAAAGTGGAGAACTCGATGACGACGAGGATTTCCTCTTTGTTCGTGGAGCCTCACCATCAGGTGAATTCAAAAGACTGAGCACAAATACTGCTAGCAGTAATAATAACTATGAAGAAAATGAGTCAGGAGGTACGTACAATTTGTGTATAATTGTCTATTTTTTTTATTAGTTATTCCTGAAAAGGGGTCACTAATACCACATTACACCAGGAAATTGTTTAATTTTTGGTTTAATGGGATTTTAAAATTATTTACAAATAAAAACAGATAAATCAAATTCAAGGTACTCACTGATTTATAATTGCTAGCCAATATATTGACGGTAAATCTTTAATAATGAGCATCTCAGTTGTGGTGTTCCCAAATCTCTGCTCCTATATTTTCGTTTAAAATGAGACCAAACTAACATACCTTGACATTTTTACAGAATATTCTGTATAATAAGAAGAAAAATCACCAATATTTTCAAAATATGAAGTCTAGTAGTTAAGATACAGAAAATGAACATGAACGGTGTTGGCAACACTGAAAAGCTTAGAATCATCCGGCGTGATGTGTATTTCCTTTGGAATTTGGAGTGTAGCCGAGTGCTAGAAATAATGTAAAATTTCTTTAAAAAACTTACATTTTATTAACAAACTTAGACCGAAACTTTACGAAGCGAACGCTTCATCGTCAGGGTCACAAAATCGATATCACAAAGGCCATAATTTAAATTTCAAACAAGGTAACAGATTTTATTGATGGTAACAATTGATAACAAGCTATTAGATCAAATCACTCCTAATAATCATCTGTTACCTTGTTTGAAATTGAAATTATAGCCTTTGTGATATCGATTTTGTGACCCTGACGATGAAGCGTTCGCTTCGAAAAGCTTCGGTCTAAGTTTGTCAATAAAATGTAAGTTTTTTAAAGAAATTTTACATTATTTCTAGCATTCCCCTACACTCCAAATTCCAATATATTCAGTGCTACTACCTTCAGACATTGCATTACAATGTTCCCTTTTGTATTTCCTTTATTTGTCAGATTGATGATGAGAAAGTGTGGGCAGCCCTTCAAAGGATACCTCTAAGTAATAATCTTTTTTGTTTTTTCAGATGAAGAAGATTTTCCTGAGCCTGGCGGAAACCGAGGGAGGGGAAGAGGCTCTTTCAGTGGGCGTCACATGAGAGGCTCCGACAGGCGATCAAGGCCACCTATGCGTGGCATGCGAGGGAAACGTGGTCGGGGAGGTATTCTTCGTAAAGGAAAATTCAAAGATGAAAACCAAGAAGACTCAATTTGTAAATTTTTCATGCAAGGAAAGTGTCTATGGGTGAGTTGATCTTTCAGACGAATATTAACATGCATCTTAGGATATTGAAAGAGGTCCAAACTGAGTTAAATTTGAAAGTAGAATTAAACTATCAATTTTAAAATTTTGTCCGAATGGATATATGTTTCTTAGCATAGATTAATTACCAGAGAGACCTAATTTTCCAATGAATCATTATAATGGCTTAAGTTAGATTTTCTTACCGTCAGATTTAAATTACACTCGGTACTTTGTTCTTTTGTTCTTCATATTTCAACTAGAATCATCCAAGTGCAGAAGAAGCATGGGTCTACTTATAAGTTGGCATGCATAATGATTTTAAAACTATTGCACACACAAACAGAAACAGAAAATGAGAAAAAATTTGTGTCCAATTCAACCTTAAAATTTAAAAAGTCAAGTAGAGTGATGGTAAACGCATAGGAAAAATGACACATAGTAATGACACATTCCTAATATCTTTGGAATTAGGAAATTGCTGATGTGTTCGAGATGGCATGATTCGTCTCCTAGAGTAAAATTTCATACAGCTGTATCAAATCTTCTTCTCATGTTGGATAGCGATATTATCTGAAATGAAAATAAGTAGTCAAGACAGAGATCTTAGTTGTCAGCGCCCTACTCTGAGAAAGATCCTGCAGAGATCCAAAATGCATCATGCATAAACAGTTGGACCTTTGATATAAATGCACCAAGTTACGTAAAGTTTGAATCGAGACGAAGAGGCTTGAAATTTTATATCTCTGTAATGCTAAAGATAAAATTTAGCGACTATTTTCAAGTTCACAATATTTTTCTCAATCATGAAATTTTGATATGAGAAAACTTATGACTATTTGGATTCAAAACTACGCTTTTGGAAAAAAAAAAAACCCATTTTAGTTTTTTTTATTTTATTTATTTTACAAAGCATACCTAAAGCCAACAAAGAGGCTATCGTTATAATAAGTCATAAATATTTAGACAAGAAAGAAAACCATAAGCGTTTCTAAGGCTCGCAAGATTTAAAAAGTTCAAACATAGTGGAAGAAGAATTTTACCTAAAAGGTACTTGGTGTGTCTCTGTCAAACTCTGTCCAGTTTACCAAGTGAAAGCACAAGGAACTTCTGTCTTTAGAAATTAAAAAATGTACGCAAAACCTTCGCAGGGATCTCGTGGAGAGAGCGTGTTCGTAATGAACGAGTGCGTGGAATAATGAGAGTTGAAGAGGATATTGTGCACGATATTAAAACCAGGCAGCTGGTTTGGTATGGACACGTGTGGAGAATGGCAGATAGTAGGTTGCCCAGAAAGGTATTTGATAAGGTTCCTCGCGGAAGTAGGCGGTGTGGATGTCCAGTAAAAGGTTGGCAGGAGGGAGTGGAGGGGGAGATCAGACGGTGTAATCTGCCTGATGATTTGTGGGAGGATCGATTCCGATGGCGATTAGGAGTTGCAGAGCGCTCTAGTGCGCTGATGTAGCGGCTTGATATATATATATACACGCAAAATTTTATTCTTGATGTTGTGTGTCTTGTTTCAGGGAGATGACTGCCCCTACTCCCATGATGCTTGCCCACCCAAAAAGATGGAGCTGTGCAAATTCTATTTGATGGACTGCTGTGCTAAAAGGGATAAATGTTTATATATGCATAACGACTTCCCTTGTAAATACTATCATACAAATTTAAGGTGTTTCGCTGGTAGGAATTGTAAATTTAGTCATGGGAAACTTAATGATCAACTTCGTACTATTTTGATCAAGGTAATTGAAATTTTAAGTTAATTTATTTTAAGTTTTCAAGTCTAAAATTAATTTATTCAGATGTCCTTTGATTTGATGACAGCCAAATATCGACAGCGTAAGTCCGCAATCACATATCTCATTTGCGGCGTTTGAAAATCTCCGCCTCTATATTATTTTTTTAGAAGAAATTAAATCGACAGGATTCCTTGAAGTTTTTGCAGAATTTTCTTCACACAGAGAAGAAGTTCACGGCAGTTTTAAAGAATTGCTGTTGAGTAGTTTTCTGTTTAAAAAATAAAGTATGACAGGAAGTATGACAGGAAATCTGCAACGTCGCAAATGGAGTTATGTGATTGCCGACTTACACCTTAAATCGGCAGGGACGAAAATGCTTCGAAACAAATTTGGAAGGAGTAAGACATTGAAGACGTTTTGACTGCTGCTACTCAGCCGTTAAGAACATGATGGCTTAAAAAGTTCCCAGATCAGTGAAAAGGGTCCTTATCTCCTGGGAAATAATTTTTCTTCATATTTTGTTAATGTGTGGAAGAAGATAATCTGTAATTGTGGTGCAAATTTGACCCTAAAATCTCAAAAATTGAATATGATATTAGTCCTGAAGTACCGAGACAAATATTCTTAGGTCGTGGAAAAATGTGGTTTAAGTGTTTGCAAAAAGTGGAAGAAAATTTTGTTCCGGAAGATAAGGCTATATTTCATAGATCCAGTCACAGATATTAAGGGGTTTAAAGAATTGTCATGGGTTTATTTCATCAAGTTGGTCTTATGAATTTTTCGAACTAACACTAATATTGAAAATAGGGACTGTTTTAATGTCTTATCCGTTATGATCCATCTTAAAGACTTTCTATTATTCAGACGCTCTGTAGATTCTGCTCGTTTGCTGATTTAGTGTGACATTCTTTCATTGATCACAAAGCCTTGACAAGGAGCCAATTATTTGTTCAGTAAATTGTTTAGTTACATATTTGCAAAAGGTAACAAAGCGATTGAACATCTGATATTTTTTTTTCAAAGGCCCAAGCACCAAACTCCAAGTCTCAAGGAAACGGGAATAAAATATTATTAGGCATGGGTCCAATCTTTTGATCCCAGTTTCAAAAGGTATTCTTCAGACACATAATTTTTGGGCCCAGAAGATTGAGTGCATGCCAAACGGAATAGTTTTCCCTGGTTTATTTGAAACTTGGATATTGGTGCTTGGGCCCTTAAGTTAACTATTGGTTCAGTCATCAGTTACATCATGATACTCAAACTTCCGAAGGCAAGACACCAAGTATAACTGAACTTATAAGTTGAATTTCCATCCTTGTTGAGCCAAATACAGAATTAAATACTTGTATTCTATCATTGGCTTTACAGAGATCAGAATGAAAGTCCATGAATGAAACCAATTTGTAAAACTTTCTTCATATAATCTGTAACCTTTATCACGGTTCCGTCTGCAGGAAATATTCTTGAGCGAATAATATCTCTTTCTTCTAAGTGTCAGTGAGAAAAAAGCAGACAAATATGTTGAAAATAATTGTTTCCCTGTTCTGTTTCCAGCATATAGAAACAGCTCCTAAAGAAATATTAGGAGAGTTTCCTAGGATAGGTCGCGATGGTGCAATAGCGTTTCTTAAAAGCGGTGGTGTTAGGAATCCAGCTTTAGATGGGCCGGATGATCACCGAGGCTCGCCAGATGAACGTGAGTACTTTATCTAATTGATTCTTCATTTATTCTAATCGCAGAGTGATCTGTTTAATGTAAACAATAACAAATGTTTATCAGGAGTCTCATATTGATGGGCAAAGTGCAAAAAATATATCTTTGTTCGTGATGCTACAGACTTACTATCATATTTTATTTTTTCTTTGGTAAACTAGTCAACACAATTTCTTGAAATCTTCCTTGATTTTTCTTTTCTGTTAGTAGATTATTCTGCACAGATTTCAAACCATAGAGTTGGCTAGTTCCTCTTCGAAAAAATAAAATAGGAGCAGAAATATTAAAACACTGTAATGGAGATACATGGTTTTGCAGTTTGGCCATCGAATTGACCCTCAACAAGCAAACAAAATAAGTTTATTTTTCAGTACAAGCGATCTCACACTTTAGCAACAACACTGACATCAAAACACGAATGCATGTGATCTATATGACATCCATCTCAGACCTGTTTCACCTGATTTAATTCCATGCTGTTTTTCCTGCACATTCTCTCGGATGAATTTCATCTTACTGGATACTAGTAGCTGCATAATTTTGTTGATCCAGGGTTGATTTTTTTTTGCTGATTTGTGAAAAATAATTTCATCTAATTTAAGTTTCATTCAAAAATACTTATTTCTTCTTCTCTTTCTGACAGGGTCGCACAGTTAGAGAGAACTTTTAAAACCAGGAAATGCCAGGGAATTTGGTTAAGTCAGTAAACATCAGGGATTGTCAGGAAAATTGACCAGAAGGTCAAGGAAAAATCATCATATCACCTTTATTTACTCTCTAAAATGTATTTGCTTTTTAAATCAACAAATGTTGAGCGTTCAGGTTTGAAAATGACGATTTTTAACCATCCTGCATCGTGTCAAATGTCAGGGAATCTCACTGTTTGTCCGAGCGCTAAGAAAAAGGTTCAGGAAATTAGGAAATTGTGCAGGGGTTTCATTTATTAAATTTGTGGAAATCTGCTTCGATTACTGTTGAATTCATGTAATTTTTTTGATGTTTCAGAAATGAATCATACTCCAGTTCCTTCTCCGCCGTCTTCAAATCCGCAAGACAGTGATATGCCTAATTTTAGCAAGTAAGTATTTCATGGCGACCTGTGTTTTGTCAGTCCTGTTTCTTCACCTGATCCTGCTACCTGATATCCCAATCCTACATCCACAATCAGGTTATTTCCTTTCCCTTCTTCTTCCATTTTGAGGTATCTTCTAAAAATTATTTGGGCTAAGTTCAGCAGAAGAGAACTGAGCCATATCTAGTTAAAACTGATAAAAAAAAAAGATTTGAAGTCATATATTGATGGCCGAAATTGGAAACCTTGTATTTTTTTAAAATTTCTGCTCCTACTTGACTTTTTTGGAGATATCCAAGCTAGCTTTACAGATTGTAATTCATACAGAATATTCTGCTCACTGAAAAGAAAAATCAAGGAAGTTTAAAAGGAGTTACATAGACTTGTTTTCCAAAAAATAAAAAATGACTGGAAGTCTGCAACTTCACTTATGGCGTTATGTGATTTTGCGTTTTGGCACTGAATATTTCCATTAAACTCAATATCAAAGATAATTTTTACTCTTCATTTTAAAGTCCAAGATATTTTTTTCCTACTTCAACTTTTGGGAAGGAGACAACACACCAATAGTTGAGCATAAAACTGTTCTTATCATCTATTTCCATGATGTGTGCCTTAGTTCTTTTCTGCTTAATTCAGTAATTTGGTACTTTTATCATACCTTATGAAGTAAATCATCTCAGGAAAATGACTAACTTCAGTCTACTAAAGTTCCATCGGATGGTGGCCTACAATTTCGAAAAATGTAATTATTGATCATACAGATCATTATTTATTGCTTTTCGCTAATTATTTCAACTGCTGAGTACAGTGGTGGCATGGGTTTCTTGACACTGATTATTTTTGGGGCTATTAGTGTGTGAATCTATCAAACACATTCGGTCAAACTGAATTTTGAAAATACCAAGGAGAATGTAGAAGGACTTATTTACCAAGAAATTCGGCGCAGATTTAATTTCCAGATTTTTTGATGTGTTGTTTCTCACAATCTCCTTAGTAAGACAACCTTTTAAAATCGAAAAAACACTGCACTAGAAATTATGAAGAACCGTTTATACTTTTCCATAAATCACTCTAATAATCATTCTCTTTCTTTTTTTCCCTAGTGAAAATTTCGACGATAAGTATGGCTCTAGCAATTTCAATGATGACAGGTTTTCCAGTAGGTCAAAATCAAAGAATAAAAAGGATAAGAAATGGAAAAATGGTAAGCGGGAAGAAAGGCATCACAGGAAAGAAGAAAGGCGGAGTGAAAAAGAAAGGCACCGAAGCGAAAAATCCAAAGAGAAGGACAGAGATGGAGATCGTGATAGAGATGAGAGGAGATCTAGTAAACACAGTCCCCGTGATGACGGTGAATTTCACCAGTTTAATTTCTATGAAAATGCCTATGGTTACAATCCGAATTTTTCAAACGAACAGTACAACCAACAGTTCTCGGAACATACTCAAGGAAATCCCTATGCTGGCAGCAATCAACAGCCGCCATCGATGGGCTCTCCGCCAAAATTTACTCCAGCACCCAATCAAACTCAGTGCAATGAACAAATTCCTCTCCCTCCTGAGGAGCCGCCTCCGCCAAGTAAGTTTTTATCTCTCGCAATGTTTTCATTTATCTTAAAAAATAGCGCTCCAACAAAAATATCTGTCCCAGGAGGTGTTTCCAGGATGTCTCCAAAATTTAAACTTTATGGTTTTTTCTCTTTTGAAAAAATTATTGATAATATTGTTTTGTAACCACATCTCCTAGATAAAACTGCAATCAAAATACAGTGTAACACATGTTTGTTGTGAATACTGTTGTCGATTTTAAGCTTTTTTTTCTTTTCGAAATAGTCTTGTTACTTCAATTTTACTTTGTAGTCTCTCCAAATCAATGAAAGGCTTTTATTTCTCCTCCTTTTACTTTTGCAGTATCACCCATGTAGAAAAGTGGTCATTTAAACTGATGATTCTTCATTTGTCCTATCATCGACTTTCAACATTGCGTTGTTTTTCTTTTGCAGAATCCGAGGTGAAAGCTGAAATCAAAAGAGAAAGCAAAGAAGAGACTGAAGAGAAGAAAGCTGAAGAGAGAAAAGCTGATGAAACAAAAGAATCGAAGGAGGCTAAAGAAACTAAAGAAGCCAAAGACATCAAGGAAGAAGAAGATAAACTCAGAGAAAGAGATGAAATCCTTAATAATATGCCTAAGAAACAAAGAGAGCTCTTCCTGCGCATCCAGCAACATCAGCGAGACTCCGTCATGAAGGTACCTAATTTTACATTACTTTCCCAAGTACAAGGTCAATAAAGCTGAAAATCATATCTTCGATGTGACGTAGCAAATGACTTTGTCCTGAGTCATTGTATTTTTGTACAACGAGTTCCGCATCTATACTATAAGCTCCAAGACCTCCTAATTTTGCGAAACTGGTGACGCTTAGTTCCAGCGTTCTACCGGGCCGATTTTCATGATTTTTGCGGCTATCGACGGGCAATTGTCTCTAGATAAGCCAACTCTTTTCAGATTTTCAAAATATGGCCCAGGTTTTTTTATATTACGTGGTAAAGTTGCGAATTCTCCCATTTAAACAATGTAAATTTATACTTTTTGTCATAGTTCGTTTGAGCGTTCTACCGGGCCGATTTCCATGATTTTTGTGTAAATCGAGAGGTAATAGGCCCTAGATGAGCCCGCTGTAATCAGATTTTGGAAAAAGGACCCAGGTTTTTTTAAAATCACGTTATAAAAGTGAATGAGTTTACAGAATGCTCCGGTACTGCTACCGCTATGCGCGGGAGGATGCGCAGTGGTCGAGGAGGTTGCGCAGTAGCTGTGTAGCCTGCGCATCTACACTTATCTACACAAGATACGCGTCGACGATCTCATGTCGAGCGGTGGCCGAGTCGTCTAAGACGTCGAATGCCTCCGCTATGAACTCCGTGTGGGTTCGATCCCCGACTCATGAGGCGCTCATTTATTACCGACTATTATTTTTCATTGTTTTACTGCAATATTTCATCAAACAGTCATTCCTAAACGCGTCCTTTTAATTTTAAAGTAATTTTAAGTAAAGTTTGAAATTAAAGTATACCTCATATCGTAATTTTTTAGGGGAAAAATAAAACTAACACTGAAAGGAGGGTAAAAATAGGGCCGCGAAGCGGCCTATTGATGGCGCGGAGCGCCTTCAGGGGGTTGGGCCGCGTAGCGGCCAGGGGGCGTAGCCCCCTAGTTATTTAATAGATACCCAAGCTTTTATGGCTGAGGAATGGGTCGTAACACAAGGAAAAACGGAGGGTCAACCTACTCCAGAATTGAGAGATAATTATTTTCACTCCAAAAAGGGTGGCTTTTAAAAGGAAACAACCTACTCACACTTCGCGGACTTGTTAAACAATCATGGGATCTAGAACTCATATGGCAGCAGTTCCATTTCCACCATCAGGAGCGTGGAAATCAGAGTTGCCAACCTTCTTTTTTTAAACTTTGACGGGATCTTAGGGCGCTAACAGTTCTTATGTCGTACATATTTAATAGTCACAAAATTTGAGTCGCAAAGAAGCAGCAGCACTTTTAGCATTAACAGTTTATGTTTTACCGTTGTGCACTCTTGTTGAAGCATTAATATGGTGTGGAATCTACATTCATATTTGGGTATTTCATGATGAAAACAAACTCGTAAAAAATTAAGCAGTCCATGAATGTCTGTGTAAATTTTTTCAATCGTACTTAAATTCACAAATAGAAAATAAATAAATAAATAAAAAATCTATGCATGGAGGAAGGAACTCTGGAAAGTTTGGCTCAAGTTTGGCCCTAAAATCTAAAAAATTGAAGGAGGTATCAGTTGTGAAATTCCGAGTCAAAAATTCTTAGATTGTAGAAAAACGTGGTTTAAGCGTTGCAAAAGGTTAAGGACGATTTTCTAACTGAAGATGAGGTCCCTCTTCACAGATTCGGTCACCTGTGGGTATTTTCTAAGTTTCCTGCCCCCCCCCATCCTCCCCCCAGGGTGTCTACCAGTCCCCAAAAGTCCCTAATGTCCCCGATTATCTCCGATTTTGGGAAGATATCCCCAAAAGTCCCCAATTTTCTTGTTCAGGTTCCCAAAAAATGACAAAAATTGTTCTAAGCACCGGCATTTTCAAATTTTCCCGCCAGCCGCGGCGGCATGGTATAACCAACAATAAAGAAACTGAAGTGTTGCTGGTTTTTCGTATGTTTTCATCGGTTCAGCATGACTTGTAAAATTAGTCGTATAAAATACGCCTTTTAACGCTCTAACTAGCTCCCTTTCTCCTACTATTTCGGAGAAAAAAGTCCCCCATTTTCTTGAAAAAAACGCCTCTAGAAGTCGCCAAAAGTCCCCAATTTTGGTTTTTGATAAATGGTAGACACCCTGTCCTCCTTGCGGCAAAGTTTCTTGTCCATCTTTTTTCAATTTTTATTTCTGTTATCTAATTCATTTTTGAAATGTTTCTCAGGAAGAGGAGCCTGAGCCAGAACCAGAACCGAAAGAAGAGGAAAACTGGTATTCCAGTGATGAGGAAGATGAAAGCAAAGATCAGACGCCTTTGTCTGCAATCCTCAGGACGTTGCAGTTTCAGTCCTCCGCAACGTCGTCGCAGGGTTCGAACCCTCCTAATGCATCACCAAAACAAGAAACTTCACGAAATGCTGAGCCTGAAAATCAACCGCCTCCGGTAAGATATCCTAACTTTCAGTTCATACCCTTGTGTGATTCCACTTGGATTGCATTTTGCAGGAAGGAACCAAGAGCATTCTAACATCACTAAGATTGTGTAACTTTTTTTACCTTGCAAATATAACTGATCATCCAAATAAGTTTTATCTTTACTCCTAATAAACTATGAATTTAAGACAAAAATTACCTTTGTAAATTTAATTTTTTGCACGATTTCAGTACTTTTTTGCAAAGAATGTAAGTTGCACAATTCTAGCAACATTGGAATACTCGTGGTTCCTTTTTGCTAAATGTAATCCACTTTATTTATTTATTTGTAAGTCTGTCCTCTATGATGTAGTGGTTGAGGCGCTATCTCTATGATCGGGAGGTCCCAGGTTCGATTCCCGGCCAGGCTCTCGAGTTTGATGGTCTCAAACAATTGTTGCCCGGGACTGGTTGCTAGGGACGGAGGGGGGATAGGACTTAAAGAGCAGGATTAGCCTTTGTGGGCTATTTGAAGTAGTAAAAAAAAAAAAAAATGTATTTATTTATTTATTTACACTTTTTATGGATATTAAATCTATTCACAGAAGGGAAACGAAACAAAATAACAAGTTGAGCATACAAAGCTAAAAATCGGAGATCAAAAACGAACAAAGGAAAAAAGCTAAGGTGGCAACTTGTATATCTCGATGTGATGAGTTACCAGGGACTTGAAAAGAAATACATGGTTTGGGAGTTACACTATTAATTAATATCAACAAAAGTTAGCAATTTCATAAATTATAGGTAACATTTGCTTTCAGTCACTGAAGAGATTTTTCCCACTCTGAGCAGAGCTCAGTATTTCCTGAAATTCTGTCGCCTTTTTCATCACTTTTTATATCATGGACGACGAGTATACAAAAGAAAAATGTCCACGAATTCCTCGCTGGGTAGAATATTTTATTCACTCTGATTACTAGAACTGCTGAACTTGAGTGAAATGAAAGTGTTTTCAATCTTGGATAGTACGATATGTTCGATTTCTTATCTCTTGTTTATACTTCATATTCGATTTCTTATCTCTTGTTTATACTCCATATCAAGATTTGATCTAATCAGCATTAGCTCCTAACCTCTTACTCCTCCATGAATTTTCAGTAGTTTTGATAAATTTTGAACGAACCGTATTGAATAATTTTCTCTAAATTATATTTAGTGAACAATGCCTTCATCCTGAAGATATTTCATCCAGATTGAGAAATCAAAACGCAATTGCATTAACTGCTCAAAATCTATTAGGCAGATCATAACATATACGTGGATTAATGCCCAATAGACTTTAATTTTTAAAGTGTGTTCTTATTAAAGCAAATAATCGCCTTTCAACTCTGCTTTCAAAATATCACTCCTATGAAGTTTTTGAGATCTTCCATTCCAAAAAGCTCCATGAAATTGATTGATTGATCAATGCTTTGTGCTCTTTCAGCTACTTATCCCTCACCAGTTTCAAAACATTAATATCAGCGACGAGGTATCAAAACTCTTGTCCACAATCCGATCGCAAACAGAGCAGCAGAAGGAAGAGCCTTCAAAAGAACCACCACCACCCAAGTCTCAGCCAAAACCGCAAGTGCCCGCCCTGACACAACCAAAGATGAATCCTGTGATGCAACCACACTTTCCGATACAGCCACCAGCTCCCAAGTGAGTACCTTAATGTTATCATGTGAATGTGAACCTCTGAAGACAGCTCCTTCCAACAGCTTTGAACGGAATTTACAAAAAATCATTATTTGTGATGAAGTCAGGAGAAAGGTGAAAACTCAAACTGTTCAGAATAGAGGACAAACCGGTTTGGAGAAAAAAGTATTGATTTTTAATTGTGAATACTTACCACTCTCTGATACTCTCATGATCATTGGGGCAAAGCTTCCAGCTTTTATTTTGTTGCAGGCAAGGAGTCAAATCAGGCAGTTTATCAGATGCCTAGGCAGATAGTAAAATTTTGAGAGTCCACGAGGTTTTGCATCTTTTCACGAAAACCTCTGGAATTGTCAATATTTTGAGGGTCAATATCCATCTTAGTAAAAACTGTCATTATGTATTCCTTTCCAAAATGCTCCTGGCATATCTCTAACCATCCAAAATGTGGAAATTCTTCATTTTATAGAATACTGCATGTTTCAAGATAAATGTGCATTTAAGGACCAGAAAAAATTCATTTATCATTGCAGGAAGCAAATGTTTGCAGATAATTCTTTCTCACATGATTTTGTCCACAGTTGACAGAAAGTTAGAATCATAATTCACTTATAAGTAAGAGTTTTTAACTATTTTCCCAGGCATTTAACAAAATGCCTGTTTGACTATTTGCCTAGGGTATTTACATTATTAATGATGTTATGAGCGTTTGAAGTGGATCATTCTCAAGATTGGCAATAGCGGTAGCTGATGCTAACGACTGTCCTCTTGAATTCCCCGTTTTTCATCCTTAAACTTTGAATTGATGCCAAAAGGTCAATATTTGGATGTTATCTGAGTTAAATGACGCAAAATTAACTCCTTGTAGCTGTGCCATAGCTATCTCATTTTTTCCATCCATCTTAAGGCACATTTTTCTTGACTCTATCACATTTGATAACACCTATAACAGCCTTTAAGCTATCCTGAGGAATGCTCCGTAGGCTGGGTACGTTCATTTACTAAGCACTCTCTTTCTCTCAGACTAGGTCTGCTTTAATTAGATGGAGGTCAAAGGGGAGGGTGGGCAGAGATGTAGAGTGTTCGTTAATAAACACAGGAAATTTAGAAAAAAAAATTAGTTGAATAATTAATTTCAATTAGATCACTCTTTGATTCATGCAGTTTACAGGACCACTCTGCTCATTTAGTGTATTTAACCAAAGTCTGTTTCCATGGCAACCTACTTCCTCTTTCATCCAAGTCATTATACCCAAAGAAGGTACATGATCAGCTGATGTCTAAATTTTTCAAAGACCTGCTTATTCGTTCTGAATAAAAAAAAGTTGGGTAGTTGTTGCCTCTTAGCCATGATGTAGTCATTCCCTTCAAAATTAGGAATTTTCCATGACCTTTTTTTTTTTTTAAATTCTGGCACTAACCTCCTCTTAAGTTCATACACTGCTTTAATTACATCAAGAGGAATTATTTATCCAACGTCAAACACACTTCATCACATTTCTCTCCTGAGTCAGGGCTATTCAGGCAAAGGCTATAATTCTTAGGCCTTAAATCTGTGCTCAAAGCATATTATTTCATCTATCCATTTTGCAGTGTCCCATAGTGTTTTAGTTTTATGATCTAGTAATAAGGTTTCTTCAGCTTCTCTTTTATTCTGATCATTTTTGAAAGGGTTTATTTATCGCTCATTTAAACTTGAAAGGCTGCATACTGCACAGTAATTTTCAAAGATCTTTTTGTCAAGAATCAGAAAGGCTATAGCACATTGAAAGGTTGAGTTCATATAACTCTTTGACAATGTACAAAACCATGCTTCTTCATAGGGGAAGTAGGTAAGTCATTCTAAATGTGCTCTCAGAAATGTATTTGTACGGTGTCTGTTCCTATAATCTCCTGGGAAGGAACAATAAATTTTTATTTTTTCACCAATATCTTGTAGGGAACATAGCTTATTTTTGAAGTCACTTCTAAGCTTACTCTTAAGGTAAGGTAGGATAATACGATTAACTCCCATCATTTGACACTGCAGAAATTGATTTCTGGCCATTAGTTTTGATGTTCCTCTCGAACCGTATATGCTTTCATCTTAAGTCGCTGATTCTCAGTGGTAGATTGGTTTTCAATGGATATGTTTGATTTTTTAACAGACTTCGAAGAAGGATACCTCGAAACAATTCTAAATATTTTGCTAAGGAATTTTTCTAAATGCATCTTTGAATCTTGAACTATGTTATATCTCAGAAATTTATTTTCCTCTGACAAGTTCTCTCAAAGGTTTGTAATGGATCAAATCCAAACAATTTTGTTAAACTTCAATAAATTCACAAGTTTTTTCGTTGTTTGACAGTTCTTTTGCTCACTATGTCTGAAGGCATTAATAGTCCCTATCACATACAAATAAGCTTCTTGGAAGGCTTAAATTATTAAGGAAAAATTTGAAGGTTATAGTTGAATGAGTGTGATTCAATGTGTTAATGTGCAAATCTAACTAATTTTTTTTTTTTTTTCAGGGTTCGCGATCCTCGTCTAGCGCGAAACGAAAGTGGGTTCGTGCCAACCCCGCAACCAGCAGTTAAAAAAGATGTTCACACGCCGATCAACATCCCATTAAAGAGACAGTCTACGGAGGCAGAAAACTCAGGTTTATCTCTGATGGATATTGACCTGCGGCTACCCAATCCAGAATTGAAAGAGTCGGCAGCCTCGATCAGCGGTGATGTGGATTTAAGGCACTTGCCGTTCAAACCAGCCCCGGTTCATCAGGCAGCAACTGAAATCGATACTTCCATTAGTTCTCATCCTCCGATTCCATATCGATTAATTCCAATCAATGTGCCAAAAATAGATTACAGCAACATTTTGTCTTCCTCGAAGGTAATTTTTTCTCGAATCTCAACGTAGTCTTTCTTGAAGTTAGATGGTAAACTCGGGGGCCAATTTTGTGAGAGGAATTATCTTTGAGGATTGTGTTTTGCGAAATGCACTCCGTGATGATGGCCATTCTGAGTTCCATTGGAACAGCTAACCCAAATGATGACGTTGTAGACTTCCTGTCATATTTTATTTTTCTTGGGGAAACTAGGGAACACCTTAAAAACTCTCTTGATTTTTCTTTTCTGTCAGTAGAATTTTTTTTTATAAATTTCAAGCTATAAAGTTGGCTGTTATTTTTACAAAAGATAAGGAGGAGCAGAGATTTTGAAACTCTGCAATAGAGATACGTGGTTCTACTGCTTTCTAGCCATCGGTATAATTGTGTCAAAGGTATTCAAAACCAAGTAGGGTCGTGAATTCCTCACAAACGAAGTCAACTAACATGCCTATTTTCTTGAACTTCTTTTTTTCATGGTCAAGTTTTTCAGTAGTGTGCATGATAAAGAGCCATTTTAGAGCTTGAATTTTGGAACGAATTGTTTCTCAAGCTTGGAAGGACAGAAATTCTGCTAATAATGAAATTCGACGGTGTAAGTCGGCAATCACATAACTCGATTTGCGACATCGCAGACTTCCTGTCATACTTCATTTTTTAAACGGAAAACTGCTCAACGGCATTTCTTTAAAACTGACGTAATTTTTCTCCTTTGTGCGAAGAAAATTTTGCAAAAACTTCAAGGAATGATGTCAATTTTTTCTCCTTTAAAAAATTAACATAGCGGCGGAGATTTTCAGACTCTGCTTGAATTTGCAATGTGCTAATATGGTTCGAAAGTGAATTTCTAACTTCTGCATATTGACATGCAAGGCCAGTTGATCCTTGAAAGATTGTTGATCGTTATTTATGCGTAGTGATCCTTATTACCACTTGAGTACAGTAAGCTTTTAAATTCGAACTTTCTATGTGCCAACCTGGAGAAAAACAGGGCTGATAAGTAAATTTTTCAGCATTTTTAAATGCGTTATCCAGTATAAATGTTGCAACATCTCACTTATGATCAAAGAGAGATTTTGTTTCCTTGCTAGCCCGGAAGGTAGGACAGACAATACATTTTCTCTAAATGATATCTGTGTATGGCGTAGCATCCATACATGCACTGCGACATGCCCATATTTTCACAAGAAAATTTATGATAAAATATCTAAAAATTCACTTTTCAGCGCCACGTTTTTCGACATTTCCATATAGTAACTTTGATTTTAACAGTTCATTGTGCTCAGGAGGTCATCAAGAACATCATAGCAAATAATATCATAATTTAGCCTGTGTTGTATTTTTTGGCATTCTATGTCTAGTTCTTTGCATGAGACTTGCTCAATATTTTGGTCCTTACTTTTTTTAAAATGAAAAACGAGTCCCTCTATGGTACATTAGACTAACTATTCAAAGGTTGCAAACATTGCAATAGGCGAAATAGCTTAACTTTAATATTCATATAAAATGAAGACCTTCAGTCTCTTAATTTGAAACTCCTCCGAACTCTTATGAAATAAAGATGAAGAATTCAAAGAACTTGAATGATATTTTTGTCTTGTAAGTGTAAGTACATAGTAGGTATTGATACAACTTTCAAACCAATATTCTCTCTTTCTTCTGTATAAATATTAAAACTTCTCGTAAAATGGGTGAGTTGCGCTGGTCACAGAATCGTATTCTTGATGTTTTCTTATTGAAGATAAGCTAAAAATATTAAGATCCGTCCCTACAGCAACTTTTTATGTTGAACTAGGGGGCTGCGCCCCCTGGCCTCTCCGCGGTCCAACCCCCCAGAGGTGCTTCGTGCCTCTAATAAGCAGATATCGTGAGATCGTTAAAAGATCATTAAGAGTTAGAGAAAACCTGGTTAGGAGACGGCGGGAAGCATGTGAGCGTGCGCGGCGGGTGGGGAGCGGGGAGTGGAGGAGAAACCAGTTTGTGACATGATTAGCGTCACACCCTCAGCGTGACACGGCACCCTTATGATTTTATACTATAGAGTAAGATATTAACCGAAATATTGCGTTTTAAAAAACTCGGGTTTTGATGTCATCCACCACAGTAGTGACATCCTTGGTTTCTTCCATCTTGGTTTTATCCGTGTTTTAAGTCGAGCAACCGCACGCATATGTGTGTATTACTTATTGATGAATCCAAGGTGAAAGCCGCCAAGGGTGTCACTACTGCGGTGGATGACTTAAAAAACCGAGTATTTCAAAACACGATATCTTGGTTAATATTGAACTTAGAAAGTTTCTGTTTGGTCAGATCTTATTATTTTTAGCTTATTTACAGTAAGAAAGCATCAAAACACGAATTTGTGACTAGCACAACTGACCAATTTTACGCAAAATTTTGATATTGATATGGAAGGAAGAGAGAATATTCATCTGAAAGCTGTACTAATAGCTACTGCTTACGCTAACAGGACAAAAATGTCATTCAAGTTGAATATTTAATCCTTATTCCATAAAAGTTTGGAGGAGTCTCAAATTTAGATACTGAGAGTCAGCATTTTCCAAGAATATTGAAGTTGAGCTATTTCACCGGATGCAATGTTTGCAACCTTTATATAGTCAGTCTAATGTACCTTAGGGAGGCTACAGTTTTCATTTAAAAAAAGGAGGGACCAAAAAATTGGAAAAATCTCATGCAAAGGGCTAAAAATAGAATGGCCAAAATGTCAAAACACAATTCTGTGACAAGCGCAACTGACCCATTCCGAATCTAACTCTTCTTGCCTCCATTTTGTTACAGGGTGCATTGCAAGATCCTAGGCTTCGCCCCGAGCGACTCACAGTGCAGCCAAGTAGCTCGAAAGAATCGTCAACACCTACCTCTCCTCCCCCGCACCCTCCAATTCAGCAGCATGCGTCACAAGGGATGCACCCGCAGTACGTACCAAACGCACCAACGGGAGGTGTCCGTGATCCCCGCAAGGCTGGAGGACCAGCAGACCCCAGGTTATCCGACGGCCCTTCACGAGTGGACCCTCGGATGGATCCGCGTCAGCGGCCTGGAGTAGGAGGGGTCCCTGATCCGCGCGTCCGGATGCAGACGTCTAACGCACCTCCGATCATGCCCGGGACCCCCATGTACGACGAAGACTCGCGCAATAAATTCGGCCCGAATTTCAACCCGATGATGCCCAACCCGTTCAGCATGGACAGTGACCTGCGGCAGATGATGAACCCTATGCACTGTCCCCCAGGGATGCGACCGCCGTTCGATCCGGAGTTCCCCAGCGCTCACGATCCACGAATGAGGGCCGACCCTCGGAAAGCGAAAGAAGACTCCAGAAATCAGGGCTACGGTTTTTCACCGAATCAGCCGTTCGATGGCGACATCGACTTGCGGATGAATCAAATGCCCCGCTACAACTACTCAAAGTGAATACACATCTGTGATGCCAACATTTGTCGTTCTCATTCTTTCTCCTTCTCTATTCTCTCCTCTTAGATTCTCTTTTTTCAATTGCGATTGTAAAGTTTCTTGTGTATAAAAACGATGTATTTAATTTATTGGAAAAGTTTCAAGTTCTTATTTTTGTATTATAGTCCGTACAAGTGTACATATTATAGAACATGCATTATTTGTATAGTTGTAAAATTTCTTTATTTTCCTATCTCATTATGGGTCCTACTTTCACGGCCATCTAAGTGATTTAGTGACTTATTTTCCTTATAAGAAACGTTACCTAATTTATTAATTTATCTTTTTTCACCAGTTTCAGCTCGAGCTAACACTTTTTTCCTGTTGAAAAGATTCACATGTAAAAAATTAATAAATTTTAAACTGCTAACGTTACTACAGTGTTCTGTTATTTCTTCACCCAAAATCTCCACAGGGTGGCTAGCAGAGTTCTTATCCTCAAAATCCCATATTTAATCAACCCATCGATCAATATTCCAATGAAGCAGCAATTAGTTCGGGTTACAGATACTCATCCAGAACTCGGATGGCAGGTAGTGGGTTTTCGCTCAAGATCTGAGAACTTGTCCCGGAGAGGTTGGATTTCCCCTCCGGAACTCATGCTCCGGAGCCGCTGCTTCGGGTTCGAAATATTCAAATTCTATCCCCACATTTGAGCGAATACCGAATGGCCCGGCTTTTGTATCAGATCTCAAATCTGAACTCAAACCATGGCGGCCACTTATTAACTCCAGTCGACGCCTACATGATACTTCCACCACGATAAGCGCTCTTTCGATGCTGTCTTGTTGCCCCACACCCTTCCAGCAATTCTGCGTCGCACGGCATCCTTACACCTTTCGCTGTGGCTGACCTGGCATCACACCCGCGCCGAGCCTCTGGATCCGGAGTCCTGCCTCTTCTTCTTTTATGAATCTGAGAAAGAGAACACCCTCTGTCTCTGCAACTCACGTGCTTTTTCTTACCATTATGGCAAGAGAATCACGAGTTGAAAAGTCAAACTTCAAGGGGGCACGGATGACTGCGTTTCGATGGCTATGCATGATTTTTTAATTTTAATTCTACTCTAATAAATATATTTGATGGTAGTATTCAAAAAAAGTTCCAAAAAAACTTTATTTTTTACCAAAAAAATTGGCACTTAAAATTTTGCATCTCCTGAGGAATCTATGTGGGGAGCCGTGAATATAATACCTATATCGATGGCAAAACTTCCAAACCAAAAATCTCGGTTTGCGACGTCGTAGAACTTCCGCTCGAGGGTGCAACCACTCTCAGAGGGTCGCGAGGGAACGCCATGCGATTTTCTTTCTCTCTCGCACTTATACGCGAGACGCTTGGCTTTTTTCTATCTCTCTCGCACACTCCGGCGAGCTACCTGGCTGTTTTCTGTCTCTCTCGCACACCCAGGCGAGTGAGGGTAGGGTGCAACCAAGACCAATCCACACAGGTCAGTCATTGCGCAGCTTTTTTGAAATCCACTCCCCCGCCCGGCCCTAACTCGCAGCACTCATTGTGACGTACTATTGAGTGCTCCCATAAGAAATACATTGTATGCACTCAATACTACGTCACTGCGCAGTAGACTACCAAAATTCGTCCTCGGGAATGACTGACCTGTGTGGATTGATCTTAGGTGCAACCACTCTCAGAGGGTCGCGGGGGAATGCCATGCGATTTTCTTTCTCTCTCGCACTTATGCGCGAGAAGCTTGGCTATTTTCTATCTCTCTCGCACACTTAGGCGAGCTGCCTGGCTGTTTTCTGTCTCTCTCGCACTTCCAGGCGAGTGAGGGTAGGGTGCAACCGCTCTCATAGGGTCGCGGGGGAACGCCATGCGCCTGCATTGCCGGAAAAACAACGCAAGTCCCGCCTGGCGATTTTCTTTCTCTCTCGCACTTCTACGCGAGACGCTTGGCTATTTTCTATCTCTCTCGCACGCTTAGGCGAGCTGCCTGGCTGTTTTCTGTCTCTCTCGCACACCCAGGCGAGTGAGGGTAGGGTGCATCCACTCTCAGAGGGTCGCGGGGGAACGCCATGCGATTTTCTTTCTCTCTCGCACTCATACGCGAGACGCTTCGCTATTCTCTATCTCTCTCGCACACTTCGGCGAGCTGCCTGGCTGTTTTCTGTCTCTCTCGCACACCCAGGCGAGTGAGGGTAGGGTGCAACCGCTCTCAGAGGGTCGCGGGGGAACGCCATGCGCCTGCATTGCCGGAAAAACAACGCAAATCCCGCCTGGCGATTTTCTTTCTCTCTCGCACTTATACGCGAGACGCTTGGCTATTTTCTATCTCTCTCGCACACTTAGGCGAGCTGCCTGGCTGTTTTCTATCTCTCTCGCACACCCACGCGAGTGAGGGTAGGGTGCAACCACTCTCAGAGGGTCGCGGGGGAACGCCATGCGATTTTCTTTCTCTCTCGCACTTATACGCAAGACGCTTTGCTATTTTCTATCTCTCTCGCACACTCAGGGGAGCAACCTGGCTGTTTTCTGTCTCTCTCGCACACCCTGGCGAGTAAGGGTAGGGTGCAACCACTCTCAGAGGGTCGCGGGGGAACGCCATGCGATTTTCTTTCTCTCTCGCACTTATACGCGAGACGCTTGGCTATTTTCTCTCTCTCGCACACTTAGGCGAGCTGCCTGGCTGGTTTCTGTTTCTCTCGCACACCCAGGCGAGTGAGGGTAGGGTGCAACCGCTCTCAGAGGGTCGCGGGGGAACGCCATGCGCCTGCATTGCCGGAAAAACAACGCAAGTCCCGCCTGGCGATTTTCTTTCTCTCTCGCACTTATACGCGAGACGCTTGACTATTTTCTATCTCTCTCGCACACTTAGGCGAGCTGCCTGGTTGTTTTCTATCTCTCTCGCACGCCCAGGCGAGTGAGGGTAGGGTGCAACCACTCTCAGAGGGTCGCGGGGGAACGCCATGCGATTTTCTTTCTCACTCGCACTTATACGCGAGACGCTTGGCTGTTTTCTTTCTCTCTCGCACACCCAGCCGAGTGAGGGTAGGGTGCAACCACTCTCAGAGGGTCGCGGGGGAACGCCATGCGATTTTCTTTCTCTCTCGCACTTATACGCAAGACGCTTTGCTATTTTCTATCTCTCTCGCACACTCAGGCGAGCAACCTGGCTGTTTTCTGTCTCTCTCACACACCCAGGCGAGTGAGGGTAGTGTGCAACCACTCTCAGAGGGTCGCGGGGGAACGCCATGCGATTTTCTTTCTCTCTCGCACTTATACGCGAGACGCTTTGCTTTTTTCTATCTCTCTCGCACACTTAGGCGAGCTGCGGGGCTGTTTTCTATCTCTCTCGCACACCCAGGCGAGTGAGGGTAGGGTGCAACCGCTCTCAGAGGGTCGCGGGGGAACGCCATGCGATTTTCTTTCTCTCTCGCACTTATACGCGAGACGCTTGGCTATATTCTATCTCTCTCGCACACTTAGGCGAGCTGCCTGGCTGTTTTCTGTCTCTCTCGCACTTCCAGGCGAGTGAGGGTAGGTTGCAACCGCTCTCAGAGGGTCGCGGGGGAACGCCATGCGCCTGCATTAACGGAAAAACAACGCAAGTCCCGCCTGGCGATTTTCTTTCTCTCTCGCAATTATACGCGATACGCATGGCTATTTTCTATCTCTCTCGCACACTTAGGCTAGCTGCCTGGCTATTTTCCTTCCCTCTCGCACACCCAGGCAAGTGAGGGTAGGGTGCAACCACTCTAAGAGGGTCGCGGGGGAACGCCATGCGATTTTCTTTCTCTCTCGCACTAATGCGCGAGACGCTTGGCTATTTTCTATCCCTCTCGCACACTTAGGCGAGCTGCCTGGCTGTTTTCTGTCGCTCTCGCACACCCAGGCGAGTGAGGGTAGGGCGCAACCGCTCTCAGAGGGTCGCGGGGGAACGCCATGCGCCTGAATTGCCGGAAAAACAACGCAAGTCCCGCCTGGCGATTATCTTTCTCTCTCGCACTTATACGCGAGACGCTTGAATATTTTCTATCTCTCTCGCACACTTAGGAGAGCTGCCTGGCTGTTTTCTATCTCTCTCGCACACCCAGCGAGTGAGGGTAGGGTGCAACCACTCTCAGAGGGTTGCGGAGGAACGCCATGCGATTTTCTTTCTCTCTCGCACTTATACGGGAGACGCTTGGCTTTTTTCTATCTCTCTCGCACACTCAGGCGAGCAACCTGGCTGTTTTCTGTCTCTCTCGCACACCCTGGCGAGTAAGGGTAGGGTGC